CTTTCATTTTGTACTAAACCCTTCTTTGTATTTTGAAATTCATTTTTTGAATTAATGCGCAATATCGACATCAATTACCCCACTGTGCGCCGGTCAAAACTTATGGCTGATTATGCATACTTCGCATAACTTCGCATAAATTTCAAACTGTCAAGTGAAAATCTGTTGAATGCATTTTGTATGTAAAGTAAAACCCACTTAAGTACCTCACGAAAAATGTCACCTTTTTGAGGTACTTAGGCGGGTTGGGTACTTAAAAGAACCCGCTTAAGTACCTCGATGAGGGTACTTAAACGAACATAATTATTGATGTAGTTACATCTTCTTATTAACTTACATTAAAAAATCCTCGAATAAAACATGAACATTCAATGAAGTATACGTAGTTTAAAACCAAGATCGTAGCATTATTTAAACATATAAACAAAAGCTTTATCGAAAATCGATAAAGCAATGTTATGTAATTTTTACAAGAATTCAATTCTTGAAAGACATTGGTTATACGTATGAATACATAAATACAATGTTGGACATATCTATCATTTCGGACCGAATTCACTTCCTAAAAAATACCATATAGAGGGCTGTTTGCAGCTCTTGAGAGCTGCAATCTGATTTAAGAAATTTTGGTAGAAGAAAATTTCTTTTCCATTTCTTGTGCGTCATTTTATATGAATTTTTCGTTTTTCTTGAAAGCTGGAAACAAAAGCAAGCTACTTTTTCAACCCACAGAAATAATGAAAAATATTTCTTGTGATTTTTCTTGAGAGCTGCAATCTGATTTAAGAAATTTTGGTAGAAGAAAATTTCTTTTCCATTTCTTGTGCGTCATTTTATATGAATTTTTCGTTTTTCTTGAAAGCTGGAAACAAAAGCAAGCTACTTTTTCAACCCACAGAAATAATGAAAAATATTTCTTGTGATTTTTCTTGAGAGCTGCAAACAGCCGTTAAACCTAAAATTTAGTAGAACACTGAAAAAAAAATTCATCAAAATCTCAAATTTTTTTCTCAGAAGTGAAATTATTAGCAAGTTTCAACTGGCTAAAAATTACCGTTGAATTTTTAGATTTTTTTTGCCGAACGTGTTGCGGGAGTACTTAAAAGGGGGAAATTATAAGTAAAATGGTAAATGGGATACGCAAAATTTAGGTACTTAGGCGGGTTGAGTAAATAAGCGGGGAGGTACTTAAGAGAGGGATTTTCTTCGGATTACATTAAAATATTCACGGTGCCCATAAATGTTGGTTACTTAAGCGGGTTAGGTACTTAAACGGGTTTCACTGTATTCCATTGCCTAGAAATTAGCAGAACTTGTAAAAAATTAGCGATCTGTTGAGTTTAGATTTTGCCTCACGTTTTCTTAAGTGACATTGGTATTAATGTAATTTTGGGCACAAGTGAAGAATAGGGTCCGTTGAGCTAAAAAAAAGAAAAAGTGAGCATGGCCGGCGTGCCATTATTTTAATGGAATATATTTTTTTTTGTGCAAATTCATAGGAGCGGTGCTAGGGAGGATGAACGTGGAATTTTCAAGATTTTCGTAAGCTTATATTTTGAAAAGTTTTGAACCAATTTCCAATGTATGGATATTGATGGAAAGATAATTAAAAGTCTTTTATATTGCTGACCTTAGGTGTGTATAGTAACAAAAACTCCGTACTAATTTGTACCGGAACCTGCAAATTTTTACTGGAAAAGTTTATAATAACCCAAAAAATTTGCAAGAGAACACTGAATCGAGAGCGTAAGAACACTGGAGAGCTGCTAGTTCTTGCTAGTAAAATTTTTACTAGCAGAAATTAGCTAGCAGAAGAAGAACAAGAATAAATGTCAAAAGCCGCCATTTGTTGAATTATTTAAGCGTAAACAAAAGTAAAATGAGTGGAAATCAAAATATGAATGATGTACTGGACTATGTAAGTGCTTATGTGTATAGCAAGAAGTTTAAAACTGATTTATAAATTGTAAAGATGTGTCAAAACACTGCAACAACCAGTGTTGCCACTGTTGGTCTTTTCCGACCAAAGTTGGTCGCTTCTTTTTCATTTGGTAGGTTGGTAGGCAAAGTAAGATTTTGGTCGGGTAGTTGTATTAAGTTTATAAATTCTTAATTTTGTTTTTAATATAATTTCATTACCACATAGCTCTGCGGCTGCAGAACGCAAATTTTCAACGCTTTTTTTGATAAAAACTAAACGAAGAATTAAACTTAAGATTGATAGTATCAATATCATAATGTTATGCAAGGAATTTGTAAACAAAAATGACCCGCACCATATGTGGTCAGCTGCTAAAGATTTGCATGAGTAATTAATTGTTTTAAATTTACTTTTAAGAAATTAAACTTATTGTTACATAACATGTACATATGTATATAATTCATACAATGAAAAAATGTTAAATGATCTCANCTGAAAACATTATTGCGTGCAGAAACCGATTTATTTTATATAAAGTGCACATGTCACTCACTTCAGATTTGCTCAAGCTACGCTTGTAAAAAATAGCCGAAAAGCCTTGAGACACTGTGCCGCAACATATATAGTATCTTTTCTCACACTCCAAAGGGGATACATGAACTGAAGGAATTTCAGGACTGCTGTTCGGTAAAACCCCACAAAATCTTGAGCATATATCAAACACGATGGCTTTCACTAGAAAAATGGAATGAAACAAAATAACTGCATGCATCTCGCCAATTTTGTTTTTAATATAATTTCATTACCACATAGCCCCGCGGCTGCAGAACGCAAATTTTCAATGCTTTCTTTGATAAAAACTAAACTAAGAATTAAACTTAAGATTGATAGTATCAATATCATAATGTTATGCAAGGAATTTGTAAGCAAAAATGACCCGCACCATATGTGGTCAGCTGCTAAAGATTTGCATGAGTAATTAATTGTTTTAAATTTACTTTTAAGAAATTAAACTTATTGTTACATAACATGTACATATGTATATAATTCATACAATGAAAAAATGTTAAATGATCTCATCTCTGCGCCTAAGACTGTACCTGCATTTATTTTTNTTTTGATAAAAACTAAACGAAGAATTAAACTTAAGATTGATAGTATCAATATCATAATGTTATGCAAGGAATTTGTAAACAAAAATGACCCGCACCATATGTGGTCAGCTGCTAAAGATTTGCATGAGTAATTAATTGTTTTAAATTTACTTTTAAGAAATTAAACTTATTGTTACATAACATGTACATATGTATATAATTCATACAATGAAAAAATGTTAAATGATCTCATCTCTGCGCCTAAGACTGTACCTGCATTTATTTTTTTTTAATGTACAAAGTACATATATGCATGTATGTAAATGTTTTGTATTCGAAACATTTAATCTTAAATGAATGAATGCTTTTTTGTAATTGAAATTTATTTGGTAGGTTGTAAACGGTTTTGGTCGGATTTGGGAAGAAAATTGGTAGGGTAAAAAATGGTTAGTGGCAACGCTGGCAACAACTGTTCACTTGCAAGTTTTTACTAGTTTTGTGTTCAATAACTTTTTCTGCTAGTTTTCTCTTCTTCTCAATTTTGCGCTCAATTTTGACTCTAGCTGTAATTCATTACTGGAAAAATTACTGTACACACCTCTATAAAGTTTGACAGAAGAATTAACTATTAAATTGCAAAGTCAGAATTAACATCAGTGATGACAGGTAAATAAGTGCCAGATGGGTTCTAACATTACTAAGTAGTTTTTGTAAAAATTGCAGATAGGGGATCTTGAATATAAGCCCTCGATAATCAAAATCTTATTAAAGACATAGACAATTTTACGAAAGTTTGGTGTTTTTTTTTTAATATTGCACAAAGTTTGAAGCTTGGATTTTCGGCTTTAGTTAAAAAATAAACTATATTTTTATTAAAAAACTAAAATTAAAAAATAATAAAATAAATAGTAAACAAGTAAAAAATTCTAAGTTCGGGTGGAGCCGAACATTAAATACCCGGCGCACGTATTAAATACATACATATATGTTTTTCACCTTTCCGAAAGTTACCGCTACGTGGTAAGCCAGGGTGCATCAATTTTGAGTAAATTAGCGTCCTTAAATTTCGAAATATTGAAGTTTCAAGCATTTCTGAAATTTACCGTTATATGAATAATTTCAATAATTTTCAATGTTTTGCTTTTATGTGGCAAGCACAATAACCATACCGAGTTTGGTACAAATTAGTAGAACGGTTACCGAGATATATAGGTATCATAAGTGGGCGACGCCACGCCCATTTTCCAAAATTTTATCAGAAACGTATTTCTTGGCAAAGAATTGTTGCAGCATCAATTTTGAATAAATTGGCTTTAATATTTACTGATTTATCGAAGATTTCATATTTCTCTAAATTACAGTTACATATATGGAATGTGGACGTGGTTATTGTCCGATTTTAAAAATTTTCGGCCATTTGGTATGCTGTACCAAGGCCAACAACTGTGCTAAGCTTGGAAGAAATTGGTGCAGCGATTACGCATGCAACCATAAGTGGGCGTGACTACGCCCATTTTCCAAATATTTATAATATTCTCATTTTTCATATAAAAATTATTTTAAATATCAATTTGAGTGAATAATCTTCAGTAGATACTAAAATATCGTAGTTTTCGTATTTCTGAAAATTACCGTTATATGGGAGGTAGGCGTGGTTATTATCGATTTTGCCCATTTTCAATACCATCTGTCCTACGCCCGAAAGAAGTGCACGTACCAAGTTTCGTTAAGATATCTCAATTTCTACTCGAGTTTTCGTGTGCACAGACGGACGGACGAACAGACAGTCACCGCTTAATCGATTTCTCTTTTAATTCTGATCATTTTGTATACTTTTGTCTATATCTATATCGATTTAGGCGAATACTCAAGTTAAGAATGTTAATACTTATTGCACTATTCATTGCTTTTGAAATTTCACCACCTCAGCAATTTTCACTCAAATGTATTGTATATTTAAAATATGCTTCTTGTTTCTTCTTCAGCATTGACGACCAACTTCGCGTAAAGCTAACCGATAGCTCCCTAAGTCGCGACCTCTTCCCAAATGATTACAACTGCTTGGGTGACGGTGAGAATCGGCCCATTAAATGGATGTCTCTTGAAACCATACAAAAGAAGCACTTTAATGAGGGAAGCGATGTGTGGTCTTTCGGCGTCCTCATGTGGGAGATGTGCACACTGGGTAAACTGCCTTATGCCGAGATCGATCCCTACGAAATGGAGCACTACTTGAAAGACGGTTACCGCCTGGCACAGCCCTACAACTGTCCAGATGAATTGTAAGTAAAAGTTTTTAGGAGTATTACAAACATAGGGTTGCCAGATTTTTTATGCGCGATAACTTTTTCATGCTAAAATAAATTAAAAAAAATAAAGCCGCGCTATTAAAATTTCCATTCGTACTGTCATCAGGTTACTTTAAGAACGGAAGTTTAAAGCAATTCCCATTCGTACTGTCATCAGGTATGTAACTTGAGAATGGAAATCGCTGCATCTTTTAGGCCCATCAATATTACATAGTTACATCCCGAGCTAATAAAAGCGAGGTAAAAATCAGTACTTTTCAGAAAATTTGTATTCAAAGAAAAATTATGAATGTAAGATAATACTTTAAAACGCCAGAGTACTTATTTTACAATATTTTGGTATATAAATTAAATATAGTTCATTAAAAAATAAAAGTGTCATTCATTTTAACATGAGTGTACACATCATTATACACAGAAGCCAATAAATTATTTTATATTTATGACATTTTTGAATAGCAATAATGAGATCATTTCCATCTTCAGTGTTTAAATAATCAAAGAGTTCATTTAATTTTAAAATTACTTTTAATATAAAGTTCACTTTAAAAAAATTTAATTAGAAGCGGGTTTCTCTCTTTGCGTCAGGAAGCAAACTTTATACTTAAGATCCTCTCAGCTGCTTCGTTTGTGTGGTATTGAAAAAAATATTATATATTTTTTCAAACTGTGGAAAAGTACCACTATTTAAGGACTTCATCTATAATCCCTCATGGCTTAAAGTAATTTATTCAACTACGCAAAAACTTTGAAAGACTAAGAATTCGCTAAAAAGAGTATCTAACTCTATGTCTTCTATGCAAAACTCTTTTATAATGTCAGCAAATTGTGAAAAAAGAATTGTAAGTTATAGGCAAAAGCCATTCGAATACTCAAATTTTTTGTTATTTAACTGAAAGTTATTTTCGAGATAACTAGCAAGACTCGACAAAAAAACGTCAGTCTTCTTTTTAAATAATTTAATCTCCATCATATTATAGCAACTGGTACGTAGCGACCCGGCGATATGCCCATAAAGCGATTGATCTTTTCGTTGTATTAATTTCTTGGGCATATCAAACATTATCTGAAACATGTCAACTGTAATTAAATTATTTTCTTACTTTTTACAGTACAGTTTAAGAGGGTTCCACCATTATGTAAAAACCTTAAGAAAATCCTAAAGTATTTTGTTTCAATTGAAAATTCAGTACAAATCAGTACAAATTTTGAAAAATCAGGACATTAGCGTACTGATTGAAGAAATGAATAAAATCCGTACAAGAGTTGAAAAAGCAGTACTGTACTGATAAAATCAGTACGTCTGGCAACCGTATACAAACAGATATTTTTGTTTAATCAAAACTTAGCCAGTGCTTTTGTTTTGTTTAAGACTGACACTCCTTACTCAATTTGACTTTTTGTTTGTTTCTGCTTCTTTTTTTGCTTATAGATTTACCATAATGGCTTACTGCTGGGCGGTGTTGCCAACGGAACGCCCCTCTTTTAGCCAATTGCAAGTATGCCTTTCGGAATTCCATACGCAAATCACTAGATATGTCTAAGGATAAGTTCAGTTGGAAGCATAGATGCTAAGTGGTTTAGGAAAATAAGAAAAACAAATTGTACATAAATAAAGAGTTCTTGAAATGAACCATGTTAGACTCAAATACCCCAAAGACAAACATGTATGCCTACTACTTAATGAATGGTAGCTACATTTTAAAATCTGCGCCCGAATGATGAAATGCTTAAGCTGAAATTAGTCAAGAACGTAGACCTACCGGTACGTAAACCCGAGTCAGCTGACACGATCTGTCTACCAAAGCGCCATGTAAATGAAAACTCAACGCCGCAGAGTTTTTCTGTAGTTGTAGCCCGTAGCGCAGCAATCTGCGGAATTTAGATTTTTCCGTGTCAGCAGATTTCTCCTTTAGATGGTTGCCACTTCGTCAGTTTTGCAGATGGTAAAAAAGTTATAAGTTCCTATTCAAAATATATTTAAAATATTTGAAATTTACTATTAAATAAGGTTTTTGTTGAAAACTAAGTAGTTTATATCTAGCTACAATCTATTATAGCACGAAAAATTGTGGTTGAAAGGGTAAGTTTATGAAAAGGCATTGAAGAGTGGCAACAGTGTAGTAAGCAACACTGAGGGCTCCAGTAATCGACAAAATTCTGCGTATACAGACTGCGTTTAAGTACACGTTCTACGTTCTCGACTAATTTCAGCTTTAGTTAGTAACAATATTGAAATGTTTTATGTTTAATAAAATTAAGTTTCACGAGAGATTCACCCTTATCAACTACCTAAGATCCATAGCAAATAGAAGAGAACGCGCCATTAATGGATGAATGGCAAGTCAAAAGTGCCAAATACGTACGTGTAACTACATACATATATATGTACATATGTATAGTTTAAGAAAGCAGTAGAAATAATTTGTTGGCCTGTAAGTACATATGTACATACATATATTCAAATTTTATAGTGTACTGAGCTTTAAACAAAATAAAAAAATTACATTTAAACGTTGCAACTCACTCTTTCTGACCATAGTGAGATCTCAATAAAACCTTCGTAAATATACGAGAATTGAGGAATACAAGATTGTGCCGTCCTGGCGGCGATGAATTTTCTCAGGTAAAAGTAGACAAAGCCGAATAGGATAAAAGAATTTGTCAAAACAGGGAATTTTCTTAATAAAAATTTTTCGATATGAAACTTGGTTTAATTGTATCAAATTGTAAAATTATTTGATTTTAAATTTGATTTATAAAAAGAATTAATAATTTTGGAAAGTATTAGTGAATTTCAGTGCATCTAAAGTTTCTGAGGTGTTGTTTCCTTTTGTTTGAGGATTTTCAAAAGAGCGGTACCATGGACGGTGCCACCTTTGTTCTCTACATCGTGGTAAATATACATTCATATGTACATAATATTTCGTAAGTACAGAAATATATCTAATGACTATGTACACTTCTCTGTAAATCAAATAGTCTAGACTTATACTATGCATTTGTAAAAGAATATACACTTAAATTTAGTTACTCTTCGCCCCACTCAGGTCTAGTTCTTATCCCGAATATTATGTTCGCATTGTCTTACAATCGTTTCATATTAAGTAAAAGTTTTCAACCGGTAGTTGCTAATCTAACATTTTAATTGAAACGAAATAAACGTCCAAAAACCAAACATTTACAAATTGTTATTTTCTTGTGGTTCAAACGCTTGGTGAGTATAAAATATTTACAACATGCATGTGTATTTATAATGTGTGAGCAATTTTGATGGCTGCATATCATCTCCAACTCTTCCTCGACGAGCGCGAGTCTGGCATCTCGTTGAACTATCGCACCAGAAAAGATCGGAAAACCCTTTCGACTTAAACTCAAACCTTCAGGCTAGAGGCGATCGAAAAATTCTATCGAAAAGCGGGAGTATTCCTCAATACAGAGGATACAAGCCTTCTTAACGATACCAAGTTCCCTGGGTCTTTTGAAGCAATACCAGAGCAGATCGCTCTCTTCTTTCGGGTGCGTTAGAGGAGAAGAAGAAGGGAGTAACATAGTGGTAGACTTGGTTAAATTTTTTTTACGAGCAATGGTTATAGAGGTTACAGAGGTATCTGAGCACATTTCTCCAAAAAACCGAAACCCGAGTCCTTACGAAGAAATATGCCGTTTCGTTCTTTTAAAGCAGATAGGGCAGATGTTGTTGTCATGTTATCCGATCACATGAATGTATTTGAAGACACATTTGCTCAATAATACCAGATAGGGCCCGAGCCGATGGAGTCGATATCCCAGCGCCTGACTATGACGAGGTACGAATAGCGATTATGCTGATGAAAAGCCGAGCTATTCAGTTCGTCAACGAACTGATTGCGCCTTACCTGTGTGGCTTCAGATCTGCCAAAGCCACCACTTATGTAAGTAGGAATTTACAATGTACATTTGGTATCAGACATACTTCTGAGCCGCTTTACAAAGTAAGTTACATGTAAGGCAGAGCAGTCGCTTGGAGTAGTTCGGCGCATGAAAATAACTTCGGGTGCACGTTATTTTGCAACTAACAACGTAATGTGTCGTCGGAAGTGTTCATTTTGTGCTTTACTAGTAGATGACATTGGCCATGAAGACAATTTTGGTACTAAAAACTGAAAGAAAACATGGCTTACCTCTTAAGGTGTTTACCTATTTTCCCAGTGGGTTCGTGAATATTTCTTTATGTGTTTTTGTACAACACATTATACAAAAAGAAGTTAGTTTCATTTAAAAATTTTTGACAAAAAATAAGTTTTTGAAGTTTCATAAATTGTACAAAATTATGAGCTACCTTGCCACATTGATATCAATGAAACAATACATCAGAGGGTTTAATGTTGTGCGTGGGAAATGTTCGGTTATTTGTAAAATGATTTTTTGGTGGGGAGCGGAAGGGGAAGGTGTGTGTCATCAAAAACTTATTAGAAAGAGAACAGTAAAAACTTTAAGAAAATTCACCCTTCGCCTCCCTGCCCCTTCTACAGACACTCGGGAGCCCATTTCAAAATGGGGTAAAATTATAATTTTTGCTAAGAAAAATTAAACTCGTGTTAAGCCATCAGCAGTAGGCACTCGTTTCCGTGTTGGTATCCTTCGGCCGCGCTAGTGAAAATAACCTCATCAGTCCAACTCTGGTTACGCCATCCACAGTATATTTGCGCAAAATCGACCTCCAAATTTACAAAAAAGTGCATACTTTAAACCGAAACCTTTGTTTTAACTTAAAGTTTAGTCCTTTGGCTAGACGTATATTTTAAAATTTTTTGATTCGGGTCACGGGTTTGGACACGATAATCCAAAATCATTCTACAAATATCCGAACCGTACCCAAACTGTCTTATGCATTTTTCTAAAAACAAAAACTTTCTAAAATGAAACTGCAGTAGTTTTCATCTTATGTGGATAATTCTTGTCACAAATATCTGGTTTCTTGTTTATATTTATGCATATATATTTTTGAGCAGCGCCACATCCTTATCTGAAAATTCCGAGAATCGTCGTTCCAACTTTCCTTAAACTACCTAAAAGTCTATAACAGCCTTAGTCGTGCTCAGTTATTGAAATATCGGAGTTTTCTCATATCCGAAAGTTATCGTTATACGAGAAGCTGGTGCAATTTTAGTCCGATTTGAATAGTTTTCTATGAATTGCTTTTTCGTATCAAGGTTATTAAATGCACCAAGATTGGTAGAAATTGATAAATCGGTTAAAGAGATACGCAGTTTTGGTCATAAGTGGGCGGAGCCACGCCCAAAATCCAAAAATTTGCAATAATCTAATATTTTGCTCAATGGTCATTGCAATAATCGATTTTGAGTCAATTAGCTTCAGTAGTTACTGATTTATCGCAGTTTTCGTGTTTCTGTAAAATACCGTTTGAAGCGGCAGCCCTTTTGAAGCACCCTTTAAAGGCTACGGGAAAATTCATGTTGTTTGTTAACGTATACTTGCTTCCCCACTGGCATCAACAAATAGGCTCCAAAGGTTAACGTAGCGGGTACGCTGCAACAGGTTCGATGTCGTCATTTGGTTCGAACACATTTGTTACCGGCAGCACTGCACGAGTGTGGGTATGTGTATGGAATAAACAAAAGAATAACCAAAACGTACCGCAAGAAAAACAAACGTCCACCGAACCTTTATATACGCTAGCGGAAGCTCAAATCGAGATCAGAAACGCCAAGTTTACGTTTGGAGGATATACCAACCCTGTGATCCGCGAAAAGTTCTTATAAATTGTGACAAAAAAAAAGGCGCGATAAGTTAAGTGCCGTGTTACAAATATTGTTACGTTGTAAAGAGAGACAACGAAAAATTAACGAACGTTGAAGCTGAGTTCCAGGCCGAATTTTGTCTGCCGAAAAGGCGCTATATCGGCCGTGATTGCCAAATAAACTGATGAGCAAAAAAGGCCACAATCACCCACACAAACCACGCACACGAACTGGTTCAAACTGCATCTCGAAATCCAGAGAATCACACTACCTTCGCCAGAACACCCATCAAAAGGAGGACGAGGTTCCAGGGCTCCTGTGGATAGATCCATCACATTATTTCCAGTAATTTGAAGTTTGTTGTTTGTCTCCGTTAAAGTCCTTAATTTAACGCACTACATACATATTCTCATACATTGTTACATAATACAAAACTTTTGCTAAACTCACCCTTTTTATCCTAGCCGTAAGTTGAGATTTTATTGAGGTTTCCACGGTCTTGTCACTTAAATCTCAGTAATTTCCCAATAGCAAACATTTGTTTATTATTAATCCACAATAATTATTATTCTTGTTTGTTTATTAAGCATAATTTTTCTCCTTATTCACCCCTTTTTTTGTTTTGCTTTATATTCACTTCTTTTTTTCTCTTTCCCTTTGTTTTTTTTTTATATCGTAAAATTCGTTTGACGACCCACAACACCATCATCATTATTTCCTTCCAGGCTCTCCCGCCTGTTCACCACCTATTTATCACTTTTAGAATCTCTGCACATTACTAGAATTAAATTTTTACATTAGACTTTAATCAAGATTTTTGATTTCTTTTGTTTTCACATTGATCACCGTTTACTGTTTTTTTGTTGTTAGGCGGGTGTTGAACGTACATACCCACTGGGAAAATAGGTAAGCACCTTGCGAGGTAAGCCATGTTTTCATTCAGTTTTTAGTACCAAAATTGTCATCATGGCCAATGTCATCTACTAGTAAAGGGCAAAATGAACACCTCCGAAGACACATTACGTTGTCAGTTGCAAAATAACGTGCAGCCGAAGTTA